AATCAAAACACAATTCTGAATACTCATCATGCTAATAAAAGAAAGCACTCAGTTATGTTCTTAATCAAAACACAATTCTGAATACTCATCATGCTAATAAAAGAAAGCACTCAGTTATGAACGACGCTTTCTTATGGCATTGTAGACTTAGTCATATTAATAAAGAAAGACTTGGCAAGCTACATAAACATGGATATTTAGATCCATTTGACTTTAAGTCTTAAGATACTTGCAAGTCCTGTCTTAAAGGTAAAATGACCAAGACTCCATTTACGGGAACTGGAGCAAGAGTTACAGAACTCTTAGGACTGATACGTAGTGATGTATGTGGTCCTATGTCTACAATGGTCAGAGGTGGCTACTCCTACTTTATTACTTTTACTGATGATTTTTCAAGATTTGGACATGTGTTTTTGATGAAACATAAGTTTGAAGCATTTAAAAAATTTATCGAGTATAAAAATAAAGTAGAGAACCAAACGAGCAAGAAAGTTAAAATTCTTCGATCGGATCGAGGAGGCGAATACTTGAGCTCAGAATTCTTAGGGTTTTTAAAGAAAATGGGATTCTCTCTCAGGTTACTCCACCCTTTACACCACAGCTTAACGGCGTGTCAGAAAGGAGGAATCATACCCTATTAGATATGGTACGTTCCATGATGAGTAACGCTGAGTTATCTTTTTTATTCTGGGGGTATGCGCTGGAAACAGCAGCACACTTACTGAATAAGATTCTAACTAAAGCAGTGCCTAAACCTCCATATGAGATATGGTATGGGATAAAACCATATCTTAATTATATTAAGATTTGGGGATGTCATGCTTATGTAAAAAAGCAAGATCCCAAAAAGTTAGAGGCACGGTCAGTATTGTGTAAATTTGTAGGATATCCAAGGAATTCCTAGGGATATCAATTCTATCACATCGATGAACAAAAGATAATTATTTCTCGGTATGCTACCTTCTTGGAGAAGGTATTTCTTGAGAAAGAAATTAGTGGGAGCATGGTAGAACTGGAAAAAATTTCAGAGATACAAATCAATACTGATAATTTATTAGAACCAGAAAATTCAGTTGTACCAGAAGAACCTCAACCACTCCGCAGATATCCAAGGCGATCTCATGCACCTAAAAGACAATATGATTTTCTCGTTGAAGGTAGCATGTTAGATCACGTCATAGATGATGACGAACCTTTGAGTTATCAGCAAGCATCTCAGAGTAGGGACTCTGTTGCTTAGCATGATGTAATAAAATCGGAAATAAACTCTATGTACACCAACAAAGTCTGGATCTTAGACAATGCTCCCAAAGGGGTGACACCCATAGGTTGCAAATGGTTGTTTAAGAAAAAATTGGGTGTAGATGGGAAAGTAGAGACTTTTAAAGCTAGACTGTTAGCTAAAGGTTTTCGTCAAAGACCTGGTTTGGACTACGATGAAACCTTTTCTCCAGTGGCTATGCTAAAGTCTATTCGGATCTTACTAGCTATAGCTGCTCACTATGACTACGAGATCTGGCAAATAGACGTCAAAACTGCATTTCTAAATGGTGATTTAGAAGAGTGCATATATACGTCTCAACCAGAGGGATTTGTAGTCAGTGGGAGCAGTGAAAAAGCATGTAAGTTGCTTAAAGCCATTTATGGACTGAAACAAGCATCACGGAGATGGAACATCTGTTTTGATGATGCTATCAAAGAGTTTGCTTTTATCAAAAATCCAGATGAACCATGTGTGTATAAAAGGATAAATGGGAGTATAGTATCGTTTCTTATTTTGTATGTAGACGATATACTCTTAATCGGTAATGACATATCGTCATTATAAGCGGTTAAAATTTAGCTATCAAAAAGATTTTCCATGAAAGGTTTGGGTGAAGCATCCTGTATACTGGGTATTCAGATCTATAGAGATAGATCTAAAAGGATATTAGGATTATCCCAATCTAGATACATTGGCAAAGTGCTAAAACGGTTTAGCATGGAAAATTCCAAGAAAGGTTTTGTACCTACATCTCCTGGAATCTCGCTCTCTAAAAATATGTCTCCCCAGACTAATGAAGAGAGGAAACGCATGAGTCTAATTCCTTATGCCTCGGCAATAGGATCGATCATGTATGCCATGTTATGTACTAGACCGGATATCGCTTATTCACTCAGTTTGGTAAGTAGTTACCAATCTAATCATGGAGAAGAGCACTGAAAAGCGATCAAAAATATACTTAAGTGCCTAAAAAGGACTAAAGAATTATTTTTGATATATGGTAAAAGTGACCTCCAAATGGAGGCTTTTTCCGACTCTAGCTTTCAGAGCGATAACGATGATAGTAAATATGTTTCAGGATATGTTTTTACCCTCAATAGAGGGGCTGTCAGTTGGAAAAGTTCCAAGTAGGACACAGTAACAGACTCTACTATGAAAACCGAATACATTACGGCAAATGATGCAGCCAAAGAAGCCGTCTGGATGAGAAAGTTCCTTTCAGAACCGGAAGTTGTTAAGGTGGTATGGTTTGGTTTCAGAACCGAATACAGTAACAGACTTTATTATACCTTGATTAATGAGTCATGAGATGAGTCATTAAGGTGGTATGGTTTGGGAACATGATTTTAGCGAGTCATGAGATGAGTCATTAAGGTGGTATGGTTTGGGAACATGATTTTAGCACATAGTTTTGATTCTTCATGATTCATTACATGACTCATGAGATGAGTGGTTTGGGAACATGATTTTAGCACATAGTTTTGATTCTTCATGATTCATTACATGACTCATGAGATGAGTTATTGCATGACTCATGAAAGAATCATTGTTTTGATGACTCATGGTGTGACTCATAGGATGAGTCATTCGTGTCATGACATATTCTTCCTCTATAAATATGAGCTCTCTTTCTTCTTTCATGGTTAATGAAAAAATAAAATAAAGGGTTTATTCATAGTTGCTTTCCATAAAAGAAAAGAAGAAAGATCTACCTCTTACAAAACTCTAGCAATCTTTGAGTAAGAGAAAGTAGTAGGATTTTAAAATACCCCGGGGTGGATATCTTGCCTTGTGTCTTAAGAAGACTCCGATTTTATCAAGCTCACTTGAAGACTTGGAGATCCACTACGAGAAGATTTACTACTACAAGGAGCAAGAGTTATGGGTTGTTCGATCTTCCATCGAATCATCATGTTTCAAAAGTATGACTTTATAACCATTGTATGCTCTCTTTAATATAGGGATCATAGGGATCATGTTAGATTGAATTAGGATGGTCCTATTTTGTATTTCATGCTCTCTACATGCTTAGTAATTTTATACAAACTATCTTCCGTTGCGTATTTTGCATGTTTTTAGCATGAATTTCCAACAGTAATATCCATTTCTGTCTATAGCTCTGCAAGATCCTAGTCGTCCATATCAACATCATTTAGGAATAAACTACGTAACGTTCATTTGTGTACACATATCTATATCAATACAACCATAACGACTTTCATTATATTTGCCCTAACTTGTCTTTTTCACCTTTGAATTTGCATAAGGTTTACTGTAAGGCATGCACGGTACACACCCCGAACCTAGTAATGAAGAGTATCATTCCAGGTGCAGATGTCAGACATATAGCCCTTCATGTCATCCACTATATATGAATCATCATGAGTTAACATTATTCCACCCAGCCTGTACACAACTTGGCAGAAAATAATGTCTCCAATGAAAGTTCAGAAAATGACACACATAAAAAGGCATGAGCCAGCCAAGACAATCAAACCATAGAAAATTGAATAAAAGGAATCTTTGTAATGGAGTATGCAGGCTGTGGAATGATTATTCTTGACAAGCATGGACATAATGTATGTATGTGTCTGTACATGCAGGCACAGGTCCAGGTGGACCTTGTCCGGCAAAGTCAAGCTTCTAGATCTCCAAGTTTTCAATTTTTTTTCCTAACTCCTTTTTTATTTATATATATATATATATATATATAATATATATATATAATATATATATATAATTATAGTCATTCCTATCCACTTAATTTTTATTCAGCCGAAACTTTTTATCCACTCATATTGTCTCAATATTTGTTGCATCAAAGTATAACAAATTTAAAAGATTCTTCATAGTCTATCACGGATCCAATGCAATATAAGATAAAAAAGTATGTGGATGACTCATTCTATCCACTTAAGTTGACATAAGGCTTTATGCATATAATATATATATATATATATATATATATAATAGTATATATATGATATATATATTAAGTGCCCAGATAGCTAGACAAGAATTCAAATGTATTAGTGGAATATCAAACTAAGCTAAATTGTGATATTGCAACCGTCACATACTTTACAATATGTTCCGTAATATATACTGACCATGGCCATGTCTTATTTGCTAAAACTTACTTTCGTCCCCATGTAAGTGTCTATTTTTCATGTTAGAATTCATGTCTCAGACATAATGATGACTCTGCACGTGAAATGTCAAAGTCACTGGGGGAAGAAGACCGACCAGTTGGAATAAGCAATGGAATCCCCCTAAACATTTGTATTAGCTATAAAACCAGAAGCATCATCCTTCTGCATAGCTCCATAGTTATTCCATACTGAAACTACAATTGCCAAAAAGGTAAGCGTGCATTCATGCTTCTTCATCCATATCTTTAAACTATGCAGTCCATAATTATTATTACGCTCTTTGAAGTTTAAAAGCTCATCTTTGAAGAATACTAAACATATAACGAGCCGAAACCACAAATTGACATGTAATAACGGAAAAATGAAAGCATCGTGTAATATAAAAGCCCAAACTGATTTTCAACATACACTTTATAGAAAATTGAAAGGAAAACAAAATCAGAGTTAATATACCAAATAACAAACTGATAATAACACCAAACATAAAATTTACAAGATCGCATAGTACCAATCCTATCAGTTAGAATCTGAAACTCCCAAAAAATTAATTAAAAAATAAAATTTTAACGAAATACTAATAGTAATTGATAAAACTGACCTTGTCAAGATAGCCCATATCTACTGTACACAATCACAGCATCTTCACTTAGCTACACAACATTTTAGCTGTTTTTTCTTTCAAGGAAACAAATTGAGGCATGCATCTTCAGTTAAGAACATTTAATTTAAGAGCAAAATATGAAATCCTACCAAAAAAAGCTTGAAGCTATTTCGTGGCGATGAGATCACTAAGAGAGAAGGGGTGACAACGAGGGGAAGCACGCAAGTAAGCAGCCGCGGACCCCCATCTTCCATGAGCGCCGACCAGCGTGCTCTCTCTCGTTGTCAACTCCATCGTCGTCGTCGTCCATCATCATCACCAACCAATCAGATTCCTATTTAATTTACAAAATTAGTATCAAATAATGATTCGATCAGCAAAGAAAAAACGAGAGGACACACACACACACACACAAAAGAGGGGGGAACAAGCCCTAGATATCAGCAAGCCTGCAAAATTATCTAAAAACAGATGCTCATAGAAAAGAAAAAGAAATCGAAAGCCATCTTCGCTGATCGATTCAGAAGCTTCTTCTTATCTTCTTCAAGAAGTAGGAGTAATAAATTAAAAAAAACGAGAGAGAGAAAAATAGACGAAGACCTGATGCTGCTACTGCTTCCTCATCGCCCGCCTAAATAAGGCCTCCAATCGTAAATCTTATTGATTTACCGCAGTCAGATTTGACCGAATTACGGTGGGGGCAATGAAATAGAAAAGCACAGGAGTGAATAATCCGGCCATTATTATTCTTATATATAAGCCCTTCACATTCCAAATATTTGAGAGATGTTTATTGGTATTCACTTATAACCTCTTTTTTAGCAGGGAAATACTCTTTAATAGCTTATGCGCCAATTTGATAGTGCTCGAGCTCATAATAAGTTGAATATATAAGAAACTTATAGAAGAAACTCATATAAACAACTGAAAATTAGTAAGGTGTATGTAAAAAAGCGCTTAAAATCATTATAATTAAGTGAAATGACAAAAATAGACATAACCTTAGCTATCAAAATACATAAAATAATTTTAAGATAGAAAGGTAATAATGCCAAAGCTAAAGGGTATATGAAACTATGAAAGGCAGAAGCTGCTTTTAAATGTATCCTCAAGTTACTTATAAAAGCACCCCTTTCAAAAGCAGCAGCGGTTTTAATAAACATACAAAATAAGTTTTATACAAAATTCGTCATTCACTGCTTGTTAAAAAATATCAGAAACAACATAAAAAATAATACCAAAATGATCTTGTGTCTCTGAGAAACTATCAAATCAAAATATTCTCCAAGACTTTCAATTAAACATGACTAAGAAAAATATTTATATTTGTAATTATGTCTAAATCATGAATATATCTCATCAGATACTGATATGGATATATAATGAAATATCTGAATTCATATCTAAAATATTTGAATCTAAAGTTGAAATATCTGATATGTGTCAATCACTCATTTTAAATTGGTTTGACCATTAGATTCATGAATTTAAGGTTAACTTTGATGATCCTTCAAATGTAATCTTAGTTTTCCTAGATCCATCAAATATATTAATGGATTCTCCTCTCTGTGTGCATGTGTATATATACATATATTCCATTTTGTAATGGATATGGATATGAGTTTTTATTATTGAGACGTAACTATATTCTTATATGTATTTATGATTGGCAAGTATGTAGGGATATAGCAAGTTCCACATCTAATTTATACCTGATCCATTTGCAACCCATGCTCAAGCCATTCAAAAATTATCATGTGACATACCTCAAAAAAAAATTCTTTATCTTTTTTCAATGATGTTGAACCAAAAAAGGGCAAATGAAAAATAACAACAAAACCTTTCTGTTAGCCTTCTTGTTTTGATGATGATTTAACAAATAATTTACAACTAATATTGGTTTTAGTATTTTGGTTTTGTGTTGTTTAATATACATAGAAAAATGAGCTACATTGATATTGAAACCTATGCAAACCAAGTCAACCAATCAAGTTCAAGCTTCATATGATTCACTATTGGTATATTTAGTATAGGTTTATATGTAATGTGTGCAAATTCTTCAAGCTCAAATTTACAAACACATTTATTTGTGAAATTTCTCAAGTTTATATGTAATGTGTGCAAATTCTTCAAGCTCAAATTTACAAACACATTTATTTGTGAAATTTCTCAAATCATAGGTGTTTTTATGCAAAATATACAAGCTCAAATTTACAAACACATTTATTTGTGAAATTTCTCAAATCATAGGTGTTTTTATGCAAAATATAGTTTAATATGCTTTGCACTAAACAAACATTATAAACATCTTTCATTAAGTCCATAAAAACATTATACAAGTTTTCAAAACTTGATTTTAGCAAAATGTCAAAATTAACATGTTTAAATACACATGTATTTTAGTATTTTTTGAATATTTCTGAGATTTCACAAATGGTAAGTGAAAATTGAAAAATTCCTTTTCTAACATGTTCATATTTATGTTTATAAACTTTTTCTAAAGTTTTATATTTTTTGGAATTTATTTACTATTTTTAAAATATATTTAAAATTCAATTTTACTATTCATAACAGGCTCAAAACCTGTTATCAGTCGACTGATGATCCTTATCAGTCGACTGATGATCCTTATAAGTCGACTGATTAAAACACCCAGAATTTTTAAAACTATCTGTTTTAACGACTGATGAACTATTAGTCGACTGATTACTCATCAGTCGACTGATGAGGTCTTCAGTCGACCGATGAGCTGCCAGTTACATGTAACGGTCAGCTCATCAGTCGACTGATAAACAGTATCAGTCGACTGACGCCTGTAACGGCTAGTTTTTCTAGCTTTCTATTTTTTAAATCTTTTTGCTGGTTTTTGGGCTTTGGTTTTTCATCCTATAAATACCCCTTACTGTTTCACTTCTAAAGTTATCTAAGTGGGTTTTAACAAGAGTTTCAAAGGGTTTAAAAGATCGTTTAAGTTTCTTTTCAAGTTTGTATCTAAGTGGGTTTTAACAAGAGTTTCAAAGGGTTTAAAAGATCGTTTAAGTTTCTTTTCAAGTTTGGTGTTTGTTTACAAAGAGGAGGCTTATTTCAAAGGGTTTAAAAGATCGTTTAAGTTTCTTTTCAAGTTTGGTGTTTGTTTACAAAGAGGAGGCTTACATTGTCGATTGAGGAATTCATGCTTAATCACTCTTATCCTCTCTTTGTGTTTATAGAGAAGTGTAGGCGTATAAAATTGCTTATAGGTCCCTTAACACAGCTCAGCACGGTGATTCGACAAATCAACGAACCATCGGGTGACGTATCTAAACGCGACCGTTAGTCCGCAATACCGAAGCCAAGTGACACGCGACAAAGTGGATTAACGAGGCAACGAGGCTAACGAACCGCACGCAAACAACGGAACAGATCCACTTGCGTACAGAATTAAGCTAACAGTTCGGTGAGTCAACGAGTCATCCAACCATAGAACGGATTTGAACTCAAACACCGAGGCGGATTTATTGCCATATTAGGATTCGGACTGTCAAATCAGAGTCCGGATCAACAACGAAGCGTAAAACCGGACAACGGACACAACACGGCAACACCTGAAGGACTCGGCCAAAACCGAGCCACCTCTAGGTGGCTCGGTGGCCAAGCCACCTATAGGTGGCTCGGCCAAAGCCTAGCCACCTATAGGTGGCTCGGTGCAGATATAAGAGCCTATAAATAAACCCCCCTTGGCTCATTTTTAAAGGTTGGAACTTCTAGAGCTGAAACTCTGCCGAATTGAGAACTGAGCTTGGAGTTTTGAAGACTTGAAGACTTGGACATTCAGATCTGGTTCTTGGCGAGCATCCATGTCACAAAAGGCAGGAGTTCGAGAGAGAGAAATCAGATCTGAGATCTACACGAAGTAATACTCCGGATCAAAGCTTGGCCTTTGATCCCGAGAACTAAAGGCTATTATTTCCTTGGTGAAATAGTACCCCCCGGCTGTTATTTCCTTAGTGAGATAACACCCGTCAAATCGTGTAGATCCGACCGGATCTAGATCGTGCGGTGGTCCACGGATTAACCCCGGCGTCGGCAAAGAACCCACAAAAGCGAGTGACCGCAAAACAGGAGCTCGTGATTTGTTCGTAAGGAAAGTTATAATCTTTTTATTTTTTTCTTTGATTTCGTTGTAACCGGATCTTATAAAAAGACCGAATCTTTTGTAATCAAAAAGCAATTACTTGAGAGAACAATGACATCAATGAAGAACACAATTTTTCCCACGAACAATCTGGCGACCACAGTGGGAGCCACCCATGAAGTTTCTGCTTTTGAGACCCGGACACATTTTTCCCAAAGTTATAAGGAGTTGTTAATTAAAAAATTTCCTAATTAAAACTAAATGTATTCTTTAAAGTGGGGTGTATTTAATAAGCATCTCGGAAAAAGAAACTTATCATTTTATAATTTAATCCCTTATAACGTATAACTTAGTGAATATTTATAATTTTAGTTCAAATCCTATTTTCATTCATGATTTAGAATATTCTTGAAATAAGAAAATGATGTATAATGATTATTGTGAATGAAACACTACTCTCATTCTTAGTTTAGAATCTTCCAAAAATAAGAGACTATACATAAAACTAGGGGGAATCTTTCATGTGTAAAATTACCAATATACCCCTCACTCTTCTACTATTGACCGAAAATACCGTTTAAATTTTTTGGTACCCCAAAAAAAATTAGTAGCATAGATTTTTTTTATATTAGATAATGTTTTAAATACATGCTACAATACTACAAACAAATGCACATGCAAGTAACTTTAAATTTTTATCTAAACAATTTTCTATCCTACATATTTTTCATGTTATGTTATTTAAGCTATGTTATTACTTATAAGATTCAGTATAGAAAATGTTTTGTCGATTATTTTTTTGGGAGTTCATTTATTAGAATATTCTAATTGGAGTATGTAATTTTAAATCAAACATATTCCAACAATGTAGAATTTAATTCGACTTTGAACTATCTATTGCTGCTGGCTTCCAAAAAAAATTTACTTAGAAAAAATACATATATAGTTGAAAATATTATCATATATAAGCCTCAGAAGGAAACATTATCGTCTGATGACGATAGTGTTATACCTGAGAAGTCGTGCCAACACACGATAGATTACTCCGATCGTCAAGCAGACGAGTTGTACTATCGTGCTGGGGGTACGAATAAAACCAGGAAAAGGAGTCCCCAAGAACAGGAAACTCAATGCCCCTGTTCCAAACTCATTCGGGCAGTATTGTCTGAATGCAACTGCATCAAGGCGGTCACCGAAAGAGTTTCGGTTTTCGAAAGGCTCAGACCGAAACACCAGAACCAAGACCTAGGCGTTTCCGACGAAGAAGAAGAGTAGTCGAAGATGGAGAATTTCCGAGGGTCACCACCAACATGACCAGCAAGGGGACATCGGCATGGGATAATCTCGAGTCGATTCTGAAAGCATCCCGGCCTATAACCCGTCTGCAGTCCGGAACCATCAAGCGAGCAACTTATGGTAGGGTTCGGACAAGACTACCTTCAGAAGATGAAGAATCTGATGCTGGCTCCGTAGTTGCATCGGATAATACGGTGTCCAGTGAGGGACAACCCCGCGAGTCATTTATGATAAGCACGGAACAAGTGGCCAAGATGCTCGAAAAAGCCTTGGCTAAACAGCAGGAGAGCTTTAGGTTCGAAATGCAGATGGCCATGCAGAACATGAGAGAAATGCATGACCAACAAATCCAAGCATTGACGAACCAGCAA